GATGGATCTGGGGCAGGGGAGGGGGAGCCTAGAGTAGTTTGGGGGCAGGATCCCGTGGGGTGGAATGCCTGGGGCAGGGCCATGGGGGAGGGGGACATTAGGGAGAGAGGGTAACCTGCGGGACAGGTTCTAAGCTCAGTCAGGGGCAGGACCCTGGAAAAGGTTTGTATATTGGGTGTCCCTGGGGGAGGGGTTATCATAGGTCACAGGGGAAGGGGGAACTTGAGGAGCAGGGCTTGAGATCTGTCTGGGAGCAGGATCCTGTGGGAGGAACATCAAGGGTTTGGGGTGGGGAATCACAGAGGAAGAAAGGAACAAACAAGAAGTGGGGGTAGGGCAGACAGTAGCTGAGGGGGGCAGACGTAGGGGCTCTGGGAGAAGGAAGGGAGCAGTGGGGAAGGGCTTATGTTCCTAAGGATAGGGTAGGTAGCTGCCAAGACTTGGTGAGGAGTGAAGCTGGTGGCACCGGGGGCAACAAAAGGCTCTGAAGGGGGGGTGTGGGCCATTTGTGGTCTCCCAACTTTTGGAGGGGTTAAGAAAATGCTTTGTGGACTCCTTAGTGAGGCCTTGGACGCCATAGACCAGCTGGGCCGTTCTGGCCTCATTAATGTCCCCTTTGTTCTCAGCTGCTTCATAGACCCCTGCAGGTTTCTTGGGGGCTTTGAGGAGTGTTAAGTGTGGGCAGGAAGATATCTGTGATGTAATGAGAGGTGTGTAGTAACATGGGACGTGTTGGGCAGTAATAGCCCTTGTCTCCCCACTCCCTACCCATTTTTATAGAGAGACTTCCTCCCACAGTGGGAATCCCCCAGTCTACCTAGGTACTGAAAGGTGGATAGTTCCTTAGAAAAACCCTCTCTCCTCTTGTCCCCAGAGATGTTTGTGAAACACCTTTCCCTTGCCAAAGAAACATAAGTGCAACTGTTCCCTTTGTTAGGATGAGCACTTGCTATCATTTGAAAAAGTAGAGCCAGAGAGCATTGTACAGTGCACAAAAATAAACAGCTTAATTATGTATGTTTGAGAGAGAGTGTTGCTCCCCTTCCCCTTCCCCTTCCCCTAAGGAGGCAGTTGTGTATTTCAGAGAGCTGCTTGTATGTATTAGTGTGCCTTCCTCTTTAAGGAGTTCTGTATTTCATGTGATGCAGGGGTTGGGGTGGTAAGTATTCTCTTTTATTGAATAATTCAATTATACGTTTTCCTTTCTTTTCCCCACCACTAAAAAAAAAAGTCCCGAGACCATGGTTTTAGACATGTAAGAAATGAGTTAATACAGTATGTTTACAAACCAAGCAGAATTCTTCCCATTTGTGTTGACTTTTAGATTCATGCATCCCACAGATGTGAACTACAAAAAGTCACAAAAGCACACAGTTTTCTCCCAGAATATGTCTGCTGTGACGTTTAAATGGCATGGGTACCTGAGCAAAAGGTCATCTGGCTCAAATCCCTTGATTCCGTCTAGACCTAGGATGCGGATCCCTTTCTTTGTTTGCAAACTCCATCCTCATTCCATTATGTGGAAAGCAGGCAGATTGCCCCTCAGCACAAGTCTGTTCATAAAGCAGAAAGTATGTTAAAAATATTTGGTAACCAACTCACAAGTGTGCAAAAAAAAATTGTGGCAAAAGAAATCACTGTTTCCCAAATGTCATCACACATTTCCCCAACCCCTATCCACAACGTATGTTACAATTGCTACCAGAGAAGTTTGTGCAGGACAAATAGTGATGTACAGTATAAGCACACCCTTTATAGGAATCTGTTTGACAGTGTCCTAGTTTCTCGTCTGTGTTTCCATGAGCCCTTTGTTTGTCCAGCATATTATAATGAAAAATTCATATGAGTTTGTTTCTCACAACATGAAATAAATTAGCTCATGTATCCACTTCCCTCCCCCCTCCCACCCCCCCAAAAAAAGAATCTTAGTCATTCCTTTTGTCCTTCATATTGAACAAAAACACACATAATGTCCTGGAGTATTCCATCCAGTTTACATTTTTCTTACATGGAAAAGACAACATTAGTTTCTTAAAAGCACACACAAGTATATTTATGTGGAGTTGTGTTGCTCAGTTCCCTCTTGTTTACTCTTCTGCTGCAAAAAAATTGGAAATTTGTATACATTTGTTAGAAGGCGTCAGCTATAAAACATCATGAACACGCGTAATCCATTGTCAAAGACTAGTGGAGGATGTTTTTTAATTACAAATGTTGGTGCATTATAAAGGGACTTCCACGACTGAGTGAAATTGGAGGGGGGGAGTGTGTCCAAAACTGCAGTTCTACTTGTGTTATTCCTTTTGGTTTTTATTTTAGATGTGTTTTATAATGGGACCTTTCCCCCTCATATCCTACCTCTGACAGCTTACTTTTGCCATGAAGTCATAGGGATTGAAATGTCTCTTTGGTCAATGGGCCAGGGCCAGAGCTAGAAAAGGTTTACATATCTGGCTAAGCTGTTTCTAGCCCTGACAGTTCACGAGATGTGGGACCTGACCGTATGGATTTCTCCTTATTTGTTAAAGCCATATTTTTTGTTACAACATATTCATATTGTTAAACCTCTCAGTTGTTTCACAAACTGTAAGTACAAATCTTTATGCTTTCATAATAGATCCCTTTCCAAGCAAAATCTGAAAGACTTTTTGAGTCTTAGAAACTGCTGATGTCAGTAGTAGACTGTGTCTACTGTCAGTAGGAGCTAGAATGGCCAAAGGCAGTCAAGAAACTAGATATTTGGTGGGGGAGAATCTTAAACCAATTTTCCCTTTATTTGGGCTAATGTAGTGCCACTTCTTCATAGAAATAGGAATTATTCTAGAATCAGAAGCAGTAGGATCCTAAACTGCCAAGTTTTGTGCAATTGTTGAGAGATTTCACAAATTGAATGTTCAGGGTTTGGCATTTTTAAATGTTGGTAAAGGAAGTGACAGTCTTTTAAAGTTTTCTTCTGATTATAGTCCTGCATTTTCAGTTCTGCCATGACCATAATCCAGCATTCAAGACCCTGACTCCAGTCATGCAAACGTATAGACATGGGTTTAACGTCTCTTCCATAAGCAGGCTCATGGAAATCAATGGAATTGCTTATTGTAGTAAGTTCAGCACATGTCTAAATGTTTGTTAATATTTTTGGTTACTTCCAGTTGATTTAAGGCAAAGATTTCTAGTTTTAGTAGTCCTTGAAATAGCCACTAATATGTCAGGTGAGAATTGGAGTGAAGGTAGATGAAGCGAGATGGTATTTGGAATGATTTAGTCTCATCTAGTATCTTGTAACCTGCCAGGAATAGAAGTGAAGAGCATGCCCCTTAGGAAATACAACAGCATATATTCCAAACCTCTGCTTCACAAAATACCAGCCTTGCAAACTAGTGTTGAGCCTTAGGTCTAGCAGTAATTTATGGCCTTGGTTGAGAAGTGACTAAACCAAATCCCAGACCCCAGATCAGTAGTCCTTTTCAATAGCGTTGTTATGCTTCTGGGTTTGTGACATCAGTCTAGTGCTGTGGCAGTGCCTGGACTGTCAAACGGTGTTATGACTTCACAGGGAGGGAAGGAGCCAACTCTCTAAACACAAATGACTTCAGTAGTTAGTAATCAGGGCAAATACATGCTGAGAGAGAGCTGGGTTACATTTTAAAGCCGTGTTTAAACATTTCCTTGGTATAAAAGTCCCTTCAAAATAGAAAAGAAAAGCAGTACAGGAAGTCCCCGGGTTACGTACAAGATAGGGACCGTAGGTTTGTTCTTAAGTTGAATTTGTATGTAAGTCGGAACTGGTACATATTGTAGGGGAAACTCTAGCCAAACATTACTCCAGAGCTCAGTTTTATTCTCCCACACCTCACTTCCCTCAGTCCTGCAGACCAGGGAGACGCGGAGCGGCTTTTCTCGCCGTGGAGGACGCAGGCGGCGGGACCGTGGCGCATCTCTGCGGTCTGCTGGGGTGGGGGGGGCGCAGCTAGTGCGTGGTTGCCTCACCCCGTTTGTAAGTAGGGATCCAATGTAAGTCGGATCCATTTAACCCGGGGACTGCCTGTAGTTTGTAACTTGGTTACAAATTGAGAGTCAGTGAGTGAGACCCCAGTTAACGAATGACCGCAGTTGATGTTCCAGATTGAAAACAAGACCTTGAATGGAAGGTAGCTTGCCAAAAGGCTGAGACATTTAGAATGGAATTTCTGCCCCAACCTGAATGGTTCTGTATGTAACACAGTACCCTGTATTCTTGAGACCACATCAGTTTGCACAGCAAATATTCTCTTGGTTTCTCAGTTGACCTTTTCACACGGTTGCCATCTTGAGATAAAATCCAAGATGGCAACATTGTGAAGGAGGAGAGAAGAGGCAGGCTTTTACCCAGTTCCATTTTTGGCCTCAGGTTTGTACTGTGTCTCTCCAGGTTTTAAGTGCTCTAAAAGTATTTTTATTGAGAGACATAGGAGTCCGAATCCTGTTGAGAGAGAGAGACATACCGGTAATTCTCTGTGGATTCTGTTGAAAATCCCATCTTTAATGTATAGATGTCCCATCCATCCAGGCCTTTAATGGCCTTTATGGAAATCAGGCAATAACCTAAGCCAGTGTGCAGTAAAATGAGCTACAGAGCATCATAAACCAGCAAAGGATCCTGACACTGTTCCACATTCTGCCAAACCAGAAAGCAACCTTTTGAACTTTGTTCAGAAAGATTCTATGGCTGCACCATGGCATGATTGAAAACTTGTTCTCTCTTCCCACTCCCTCAGGTCAGCTCTTTATCAACTTTCTTGCCAGTTTTCAGTTTTCATTCTTCTTTTCGCTGATTTTGTTGTGAACTTTTTCTCCCCTATGGAATGTGCTGTAAAAATATCAGATTATTAATAGAAAACAAAATTCAGCTGGAAGCCTCCTGATCCTACGTTTTTTTGAGGGAGAAGAAAGATGTTTATCCCAAGGCAGTGTGCTGTACTGTCTAGCTAGGGTTTCATATATTAGAAGTTAATATTTCATGATTGTGTGGTGAGATCTCGCAGACTTGTCAGTCCAGTACACTTCTTGTTAAGCTGTGTTGGTGGTTCATTTTCAAATAGAGCACCCCCTCTATTACTTTGAAAAGATGCATTTTCTCCACATTTTGTGCATTCCATTATGCTGACCTCAGTTACCTTGCAGCCATTTTTCTTCGTTCATTAACTCTCAGGTTTTGTAGTCTGTGGATCTGCAGCACTAAAACAGATAGTGCTGTACATCAGATTTTATGCTTAACTGCACCTGTTGTGCAAATAACTGTTGTACAAAGGAAGGTTTTCTGCAGTTGTCTGACACTTACATATTGGTCACCATCCTAACTCTCCTCCCCCGTAACAAATACTTTGGATAAAGCTGTTTTTATAACTATAAATAAAATACTCCCAAGTGCATGTTTTGTAGCAGATAGGTTTATAGAGCAATTTTTTTCCCCTTTGGTCATACAGACTTCCTTCTCTTCCCTTTCCAGCTCCCACAGATAATAAAACCACTTGTTTCCATATGAAGCCAGTAGATGACGGCGTGTTTTTCTGGACCAACTTTCCTGGCTGTGATGAGCAAAATAATTATACAATCTTTAGCATAACTAGTAAATTATTTCAGTTGTAGCTGTCAGGTATTTTCACTGTGCAAAATGTTCTCATCATTTGTCCATTTCACATGAGTTTTTCCAAGTTCAGACAAGTCTTTTTAGTTAAGTTAAATGGTGCTTTGTAAATATTTAGCCCTTAATTTTTCTTAGCCATTTTGATTTATTTTTAAAAATCTTGTTTTGTTTTTAGTAGACACGTTTGCATAGTAGAAATGCAATTGTTGCATAAAACCTTGTTGATTCCTATAGTCACGTGAAACAGAAGTTATTGTTAAAACAGAGTAAAAATTAATATACGGGGCAGGGGATTTAGTAAGCTCACAAGCGCAAGATTATTCTGATCATTTTCTAAATAGCAACAATTTCTCCCATTATTTGGAGATGGGTATGAATAACATTTTTGTTCTCTCTGCTGTCACATGAGAGAGTTCACCTTTATGACACAGCGTGTGCTTGAGGTGGCAGCTGGTTCATAGTACCATGTTTAGGTCATTATTATGATTGTGATGTCATAAATATAGTACGATAGATAAAATTCAGCATTCTGCTAAGATAGCAGCATACACTGTACCGGAGACAGCCCTTGATAGAAAAAAGTGTGAAGTGACTATAGGAAGGCCACAAGATGGGTACACACTTAGTAAAGGATTTTCCCACAGTCAGCGTTCTCTGCAAATATGTTAGCCACTTAACCAACGTGGCTTCTTTATTGTATAACCACAGTGAATGTAAATGGTGAGCTAGCTTCTGAAATTGGCACAGCCTTGTCACTTGTAATAATTTTTATTCACACTTTTTAATTCATAACTTTAATCACCCTCTCTTTCAGATGCCCCTTCGCTATCATACACCAGATTTCAGAGTCTGGCGTTAGTTTCTATTTCATTTGTGTGGAAACCCAAAATCAAAGTAAATGGTGAAATCTTATTAGGCTCTCAAGAGTCCTTCTGTCCAAAGAGCTCAAAGCATTTTCCAGACACTAACGAATTAACCCACATACTTTCTCTCGGCGGTAGGCATTATAATTCCCATGTTATAGACCAGGAAATCCAAGTTAAGAGATCAAATGATGGGACCAAAGCAATTAAAATAAGTCACCGCCAGAGCCAGAGTTAAGGAATCCAGGAATGTATGGCTCCCTGCCCCCCCCCCCCCCTCACCTTTCCCAAGATTTTGCTTGATGTCTAAACATTTGTGGATAAGTGATTTTTATAGGCTGTCATATTCTTTTGAAGAATTGTATAATGACGAGGTAACTTGTATCATCAGAATTATGGCTGTTTAGAGTCCCAGCAAACTGTTTTACAAATTGCCTACCAGTAGCCCCAAGCTTTTACACGTACAGGTTGTCCTCTTGTTTTTCTAGAACAGGCTGACAGCTTCTTTCCTCCAAACTTCGCCTAGATCAGAGTGATTCAAGCAGAGCTGAAGATCTGTGTACTTTACTCGACAAAAATGACGGCTGCGGCTGGGCATTGCAGTTAGGGGGATTGCCACATGATGTTGATAGGAGCACTTGTTCTTGTTTAAAGCCAACAGGGAAGGTAGGAAATTAAGAGCAACCTTGCAAAGCCCAGTTGTCAGGAGCAATTGAAGCAGAGCGACGCTCATGGGAATAATCTTTTCTCCCTTGGACAATAGCATGCATTCCAAACCATCTGTTGAGTGAATTTACCGTACCACAACAGGCCTGTAAAACGGTGGGTCAGCAGCAGTTGCCATAGGAGAATATTGATCTAAGTAGCCTGCTCAGTTTGTTTGTTTTTCCCACAACATAGTTTGAGCTAATTTTTTGTACTATATCCAGCTACGCACTGGACACTGCTAGGCTGCTGTTAATTCTGCTACCAACCTACCTACTGGCAAGATGGGGTGCGCGTTGGCTTATGTCAGCATTACAGTGGTGCAGCTATGCCACAGTACATTTCTAGTGTAGACGTACTCCAAGTGTCTTGAAGCCCAGTGCTGTGTGGTCAGTGCAGGATTATTCCTTTTAGTACTTTTTTCCTGCATCATTCTCCCATCTGATTGTAAATGTCTCAAATAATGAGTTTCCATTGCTTTGGAGAGGCGAGTGTAAAAGTTTAAATATGGGTTCCTTCCTTTGTGAAGCTACCGTTTTCAGTTGGTTCCAACCCCATGAAAACATGGCTCTTCTAGTCCAGGGTCAATTTTTCTGTTTCCTAGAAGGGCTGAGATTCACTAGTGTCCTAAGTCCCTTGTGATAGCAGGGAATCAGTTATGGAGGATTCTAACAAATAGTGCCTTCTCAGTGCTACAGAGAAAGATGAAAACCAACTAGCCACTCGCCAAATATAATGTGAGAACTCAGGGGTTCTTGCCTTCTCTCAGCCTGCTCTAAAGGGAGGAAAATCTTTCATGTTCTTTGTTTTGCATTTTATTGGTTGTCAGGCGTGTGTGTTAGATTTTGGAAGTGTTTAATTGGAAATCATAACTGGGTTAGATATGGTAGAAATGTAGCCGTGTTAG